AAATAAATAAATAAATAAATAAATACAATACAATACAATACAATACAATACAATACAATAATAACATTGCTGCCTCTGCTGCCCTTTCTGGGTGCAACTTCATGACTGTGAAGCCCACATTCCAGGACCTCCCCTTCCAGACTCCAGTGCTAGTCAGGTAGGCAAAGTCTCTCTCTCTCTCTCATTTTTTCTTGTCTATTCTAATTTTTTTCTCTATGACAAAACACTTTTCAGTCCCTTTATACTTTCTCCTGCTAATTGGTCTCTTCTTCCCTCACCTAGGACATCTCCATCTTTGCCTCTGCTGCGCTTTTCATTTGGCAGAGCAAGCACATCATGTGGTTTTCCATTTATAACTCAATTTTTTTATTTTTTCTTAATTTTAAATAATTTTAATGCAAACTTAATATAAACTGTTTCAGTCCCTCAGCATGTAAGATACTGACTCAAAATACTTCTATACCGTTTTTTTTCCAAGTATTGCACAATATAGGTACAAAATTAATATTTATGATTACATTTTCTTCCATAATATATAGCAAAAATCTTTAAACTTTAACAGAAAATACATTTTTTGAAAAAACAAATATTTGTATATTTTAATTCCACCACTAAAGAATATCCTGTACACAATTTTTAGAATAGTTGATGTCTTTAAGATGGATATTTTACAATTTTAGTAAAAAAAAATACAACATGAAGCTGCTGCTGTCACAGATCACTGTAGTAAAAAGATATAAATGTGGTTTGGGACGAAATCGACCATCCACGAGATGACTAGAAGTCGCCGCAGGACCACAAGAAATATGGGGAAGCAGGAAAATACCTCTCCTCCAAGGGAAAAGGATAACCCCTCTTCATCTGCACACAGTTCAATGGAAGTCATGGAAATGTCTGATAAAGAATTCAGAACATTCATAATGGCAAAGCTTACAGAGATGGAAGAGAAGAGAGACAAGGAACTACAGAAGAGAAAAGAGAAAGGAGTTGAAGAGTTCTGGGAGGTGAGGAAATTCATGCAAGATCTAAAAGAGGAATTTCACACATTACAAAAGAATCAGATGGAACTGTTTGAGATGAAGGCTATAATAAAAGAAGTCAAAATTTCCCTTGAAAGTATTAAAAGCAGACTAGATCATACAGAAAATAGAATCTTAGATGTAGAAGAGAAAATTGCTGGCCTAGAAAAATCCACCACAGCTTTGCACAGTGGCAGTATCATAGCCAATGAGGTTTATCCAAGGCGCAATTATTGCTAATTGAAAAATCCACCACAAAGACTGAGAAAATGGCCCAAAAATTTGAGAACAATATACGAGAAACAGTAGATAAAATTAAACGTCCGAACATCTGGATAATAGGCATCCCGGAAGGCGAAGAAACTCATAAGGGCATTGATAATGTATTCCATGAAATCCTGCAAGAAAACTTTCCAAACCTGGAGAGGCACTCAAAGATCCATTTCCAAGAAATACAAAGGACCCGAAATAGAATCAACCCAAGAAGATCTTCTCCAAGACACA